TCACCTAGCTCCCTTGTGAGCACTTAGCTCCCTTGTGGGCACCTAGCTCCCTTGTGGGCACCTAGCTCCCTTGTGAGCACTTAGCTCCCTTGTGAGCACTTAGCTCCCTTGTGGGCACCTAGCTCCCTTGTTGACACCTAGCTCCCTTGTGGGTACCTAGCTCCCTTGTGGTCACCTAGCTCCCTTGTGAGCACTTAGCTCCCTTGTGGGCACCTAGCTCCCTTGTGGGCACCTAGCTCCCTTTTGAGCACTTAGCTCCCTTGTGGGCACCTACTCCCTTGTGGGCACCTAGCTCCCTTGTGGGCACCTAGCTCCCTTGTGAGCACTTAGTTCCCTTGTGGGCACCTAGCTCCCTTGTGGGCACCTAGCTCCCTTGTGGGCACCTAGCTCCCTTGTGGTCACCTAGCTTCCTTGCAGTGCTCCTCTTTCTTAGTATTTGTCTGGCCCCTCCTACTCTTACTACCTCCCCACTAATACTTCCTTCCCTCCACTACAACTCCTACCACCTCCTGCCTATATATACCCATCCTGTAAATGGTCCAAGTCGGACCGAAACGTCGTCGTAAGCAACTCTCTTCTATGTGTGGGTTATCTGTGTATCGTTCCAGTCACGGTATTGTGCTTTTTTTTTTTTTTTTTTTTTTTATATATCCACACTACTATTAAAACTTAAAAAATATGTATACAAATGCAGATAATCTTTTTCAAATATATTCACTTTTAATTTGGTTAGGCATATTTTACCAATTGTGAAGAAAGTTTATGGAATAGTTAGCTGATGTTTGATGCACAAGCCCATGATGTTTAAGGAACTTTAGTTAGAACCAGATTCAGAAGTTGGGGTTAAACATAAAACATTAGTAGTGCACATTTAAACTGTCTGTAAGCACGAGAAGCAGATGAATGATAGAATTGATGAGAGGAAAAATGTGAGCGGTGCACTTTGGAGTCTGTAAAGACAAAGAACTTTGTCCATGGAAGCGAAGAGGAAAATGTATGAGAGTATAGTTATGCCAACGCTCTTATATGGGTGTGAAACATGGGTAGTGAATGTTGCAACAAGGAGAAGGCTGGAGGCAGTGGAGATGTCATGTTTGAGGGCAATGTGTGGTGTGAATATAATGCAGAAAATTCATAGTTTGAAAATCAGGAGGAGGTATGGGATTACCAAAAGTATTATCCAAAGGGCTGAGGAGGAGTTGTTGAGGTGTTTCGGACGTGTAGAGAGGATGGAAAGAAACCGAATGACTTCGAGAGTGTATAAATCTGTGGAGGAAAGATGGTGGGAAAGATTGGAGGGAGGGGATAAAGGAGGTTTTGTGTTCGAGGGGCTTTGACTTCCAGCAACCATGCGTGAGCGCATTAGATAGGAACGAATAGAGACAAATGGTTTTTAGGACTTGAACTGCTGTTGGAGTGTGAGCAACATAACATTTATGAAGGGATTCAGGGAAACTTAGAAAAGGCCCGGACAGGGAGAGTACCGGCGAATCAAGAAGAAGAGGAAGGGAAACCGGCAGGCCGGACTTAAGTCCTGGAAATGAGGAAGGGGTGTTAATGTTAGTTATATAAATGTCATGTAAGCGCCCCTCTGGCAAGACAGTGATGGAATGAACGTTGATGAAAGCTGTTTTTTTTGTGCCACCCTGCCTTGGTGGAAGATGTTAATAAAAATTATATATATATATATATATATATATATATATATATATATATATATATATATATATATATATATATATATATATATATATATATATATATATATATATATATATATATATATATATATATTAACACACTGGCCGATTCCCACCAAGGCAAGGTGGTCAGAAAAAGAAAAATCTTTCATCATCACTCCATCACTGTCTTGCCAGAGGGGTGCTTTACACTACAGTTATAAAACTGCAACATTAACACCCCTCCTTCAGAGTGCAGGCACTGTACTTCCCATCTCCAGGACTCAAGTCCGGCCTGCCGGTTTCCCTCAATCCCTTCATAATTGTTACTTTGCTCACACTCCAACAGCACGTCAAGTATTAAAAACCATTTGTCTCCATTCACTCCTATCAAATACGCTCACGCATGCTTGCTGGAAGTCCAAGCCCTTGCACGCAAAACCTCCTTTACCCCCTCCCTCCAACCTTTCCTAGGCCGACCCCTACCCCGTCTTCCCTCCACTACAGATTGATACACTCTTTAAGTCATTCTGTTTCGTTCCATTCTCTCTACATGTCCGAACCACCTCAACAACCCTTTCTCAGATCTCTGGACAACAGTTTTGGCAATCCCGCACCTCCTCCTAACTTCCAAACTACGAATTCTCTGCATTATATTCACACCACACATTGCTCTCAGACATGACAACATCTCGACTGCCTCCAGCCTTCTCCTCGCTGCAACATTCATCGCCCATTATATATATATATATATATATATATATATATATATTATATATATATATATATATATATATATATATATATATATATATATATATATATATATAAATATATATATATATATATATATATATATATATATATATAATATATATATATATATATATATATATATATATAATATATAATATATATATATATATATATATATATATATATAATATATATATATATATATATATATATATACTGTTGAGTTCGAAGAAAATAACTCATTGCCTTTTCTAGATGTTTTAATTATTAAGGGTAATTATGAATTCAAATTTAAAATTTACAGAAAACCTAAAAATAACTGTTCCTATGTCCACTATTATTCTTCGCATCAAGATAGAGTTAAACTGTCTGTTTTCTCATCAATGTTTTTGAGAACTTTACGAATTTGTAGTCCTGAGTTCATAGATGAGGAAATATCCAAAATTTATGAAATAGGTAATGATTTGAAATACCCAAGAAACGTAATTGATAAATCTTTTAAAGTTGTTAGAAATACTTTTTACAGTCCAAAAAGGGACAACCAGCCTTATTCAACTAAAAATATGTTGGTTAATCCCTTACCATGAAAACTTGGTTGATATGCCTTCTCTTCTTAAGACTTTTAATGTTAAAGTTGTATTAAAAAATCTTGATACAGTAAAAAAAACTTTTGATAAAGAATTCCCCCCCAAAATGCTGATGGATGTGTCTATAAGATAAAGTTTATTACGGTCAAACTGGTAAAAATCCCGAACTAAGATTAAAACAACATAAATATAGCATTAGAACTGGACAAGATTCCAATGCTCTATTTATTCATGTGAGAGATTTTAACCATCCAATTGATTTTCGAAAAGTTGAGAAAGTTGTATCAAGTAAGTCCATGGTCAACAGGAATATAATTGAATCTTGTTTCATAAAAAGCAGTTTTGACAATAATATGAATATTTCCTTTGGTTTACATAAATTAGATCCATTTATAATTAATAGAATTTGGGAAGAATTTAATAATACATTGGACAAATAATAATTTTTAAAATTCTTATTTCTTGGGTAGAATAGTTACCTCTCTAACCCCCCCCAATCCCCCACCAATCCCCTTCTCCAGGTCGGAGTTAACATGGGACTCTCCTGCCACTGGTAAAACAACTATTGGGATCTATTTTTTTCAGTCTAGGGCTGAAGTTTATACCATTGTCGCGACTTCCTCGCGACTATGATTGAAACTCTCGCTTACACATCATGAATCCTGAGAGCTACGTACCACGTTGATCGGCATAGCGGAATACCATCTGTTCACTGAATAAATTATCTTCGCTCCATAAAGCTGTATAGCCCCTGTGGCTTAGCGCTTCTTTTTGATTATAATAATAATTCGCTCCATAAAATAAATTTTTGTATTTTCTTTTCCATTATTTGCTTCAGTTAGGACAATTTCATTTTTGATTGTTTTACATTTAAATAATTACTTTTTTGCATATATTTTCAATAAAATTGTGTATTTTCTGTTAAAAAATTATTATTCTGTTTTCTTTTCATAAGGATGACTCGTTTTTCAAATACTATTTGAGGGTCTGAAAGGGCATTTAAACTCTCACAAGCTGCTACTGATGCTGATGCTACTGCAACTGCTGGTGCTATTCAAGCTGCTGCTGCTACTGGAGCTGCTACTTATGCTGTTAGTGTTGCTATTGCATCTGCTGCTGCTGCTTGAGCTGCTGCTGCTGCTGCTGGTGTTATTACAGTACTGTTGCACTTGATTCTCCTATTGCTGCTGTTGATGATGATACTGTTAGTGCACCTGCTTCTGTTGCTTTTGCAATAGCAATAGCTGTTTTTTACTTTTTTGTAACTTTCGTATTCCTAATGACTAACATTACATTCGTTACATACTACTGACACTGTTGTTATTCCAATAGCTGCTGCTATTGTTACTGCAGCTGCTGTTGATACTGCAGCTGCTGTTGATACTGCAGCTGCTGTTGATATACTGCAGCTGCTGTTGATACTGCAGCTGCTGTTGATACTGCAGCTGCTGTTGATACTGCAGCTGCTGTTGATACTGCAGCTGCTGTTGATACTGCAGCTGCTGTTGATACTGCAGCTGCTGTTGATACTGCAGCTGCTGTTGATACTGCAGCTGCTGATGTCATTATAGTTATTGTTGCTGTTGTTGCAGTTGCTTCTGCTGCTGCCACTTCTGCTGTTTCTACTGCTACTGACGTAGCTGCTGCTGCTGTATCAGCTGCTTCTTCTGCTGCTGTTGCTGCATTTTTTTTTTTTTTTTTTTTTTGTGAAGGGAGGTGGAGGTAGAAGAGGCAAGAGGTACAGTATAAAACAAGACACAACTCTTCTGTCACATAAACAGTCCTGTGTTACCCAAGGTGTGCATTTATTTGTTGGTTACTCCCGTCGGCTCGTCTCTTATAATCGCTGCAAGAGGTTGTGCTCCTCACACTCGGTAAATGTGTGTGTTGGTTACGTCCAGCATAACTCATACAAAGCTAACAAAGGTAACCAAAGTGCTCGTCCTTGTTACAGTTAAGAAATCCCAGAACATCTTACTTGGGTTTCTACAGACCATGCCGATGCAAGAGTACTGGAGACACTGATGGAGAGATGTGGAATAATTCAGACTGCCTCCTGGAAAACCTGAACAGTCGTAGCCAGCGTACTCTGTGTTGTACATCAGAGCTAGGTGACAGTCTGTGGGTACAAGATAGGGGCGATAAACAGGTTTCAAAGTGTGTGTGAGAGAACTAGGATATTAGGGAAGAGGTAGAAGTACCTACTGTATGAGTAGAAAAAAAATGCAAGTTACGATATTCCACTAAATTTCCTAAACTTACTTTCGATGAACTTGATATAAAAATTCTGATTCTCATATAGTGAGGTGCATCTGTGTTTTTATACAAATCTAATTCTGTAAGTTTCTTATCATTACAAAATTAGTATTATCAAGCATTACAGATGTTTACAGTTTAAACAGAAGTACTAGTTATTATAGGGATCATTTTTAGTGAGTGGTAATATTCATTCATTATAAATCTATTTATGTAGAGTTGTATATAAATGCTAATCATATGCACGAAATGTGGTCGTACTCACTAGTCTTGCCGAGCGAGTGCTGGTTAGCGAGCCATGAGTTGTTGGAGCACGTGAAGGGGCTAAGGGTGGGGTCGTACTTGAGGTACACAGGCATGTCGAAGGGAAGAACAAAACTGCCAGTGGGACAGAGACCGGGATCTGGCGTCTGTGTGGATACTGTGAACTTTTATCTTACGTACAATGGGAAAAAGTGGAAATTAATCTCAAATATTTGGCAAGAAAAATATAGGACACACACACACACACAAACACACACACACATACACACACACACACACACACACACACACACACACACACACACACACACACACACACACACTGTCTTAAAAAAAAATTATGTATCAATCCGTAAAGGAAAATTTTTGAAAAGTTTAACATTTAATAGATACCGGCTTGTTAGGCAAGTTCGAAGTTCGACTTATTAAGCAAGACCACACACACAACACACACCACACACACACACACACACACACACACACATACATACACACACACACACACACACACACACACACACACACACACACACACACACACCCCACACACACACACATATATATATATATATATATATATATATATATATATATATATATATATATATATATATATATATATATATATCAACAGCACTGCGACCAGCCAAGGACTCGAGTCCTTGGCTTGTCGCAGTGTTGTTATTCATCAGTACCACTCGTTCATGGGCATATTATATATATATATATATATAATATTATATATATATATATATAATATATATATATATATATATAATATATTATATATATATATTACGTATATAATAGGGTCCACCTCCAGTACAAATTGTGGAATCCATAGCCTCGGAGAAGTCTATTAAAGGCTTCGAGGAAAAATATTTTTATTTCTCCCTGAAGTCATCTGAATATTCCACTTCTCCTACCACCCCATCTTTTATTTTTTTGCCAGTAGTTGTATTTTATTACATAATATGGTACACACGACTTAAAAGATACATTGCTGGAACACAGATGGCATATACAGTACATGAAGTTTAAAGGATGCATTTGAAGCACATATTGCACAGATTACAATGCAAAAATCTCTACCAGCTCCTCTGAACTGGGCCAGGTGCTCGGGATACAGCAAGCATTACCTCTCTGAATCGCATCGCTGAGCAGCTGGAACAAAAAACTTGCAGCCCTAGGCTCACTAGGTACTTTGATGAGTCCTTTGCTTAGCTCCTTATGAAACTTAGTTGTACTCTTTCCCCATGGGCAAAGGGTGTCCAAGCCTATGGGAACAAGCATATTATGAAGAGCAAGTTCACTGTATTTTGTAGACTTTTGACACTCCCTTGAAGCTGACAGCTGCCCGTCCTTCCTCCCTGGTATATTCGATATAGGTATCAGCCATTGTGGACGCACATGTGTATACCCACACCACTTGCTTGCCTCTTCTGTCCGAGCTTGAAGGGCGATACCTTCACAACGCTTTTGGTTACCATCAAATTTGCATAGTAGTTGGGGTGCCTCCCTTATTACTGGGTGTCCGGCTGTTGTGAGTCTCCTCTTGATATCATTAATCTCTTCATGCCTGAAATCTTTCCCTCGGGTCTACGGCAAACAACCATGGTACCCGAATCGGTCTGCCGATTCACTGCCGCAAATGCACCTGTGTTCAACGGGAACAGGGGCGGCAAGGCAAAGGGCAACACCAATGCAGATGGTCATTAGATGGGAACGTGTGCCAGGAAGGAGTTGGGGACAGCCAACAGGAAATCCCCTGCATGAGAAGCTCTCACTGCTAGAGGGCAGGCTCTATCTTGTTCCGACACACTATGAAGCACTGTTGAGTCTATATTCTCCACTACTGGGCTATCCCAGTATGACTGTAGCTGTTGCGAGGGGGGAGCAGGTCTAGTTTTAGAGTCCGTTAGATTATCCCTGAGCGTGGCTCCGTCAACGAACTTTTGGTCATGAGCTCCAATATTGTCCCTACGGTGTTTAGAGAGAATCGCTGCTTAAAGTCCACTGGATTCAACACATGAGAACAGGAAAGCAGCTAGTGCAGTCTGTGATGCCTTGTGGACACCAATACCCCCTAGTCTGAATGAAAGTGCCCATCTTCTAGCGTTAGGTTGAGTACTTTTGTAAAAATCTGTCTCAAGATACTGTTGTATTCATGCAGTAATAAGGGTGCACATCTTAGGAAATATGTTAACCTGGGCAGACTCAAACACTTTATGAAAAGGTACAAGGCATCGTGGGTCTCAAGATTACCTTTTCGTTGTTCCAGCCTCCTAAATACGTCAAGTTTCTTCCCGAGAATTGAGTCAATGGCATCACTACCCTGAGATGCTCCAAGTAAGACGCTATTTGTGGGGGCAATAACTGATGCTCCTGGTAATTTTGATCTCACCGTGTCGATTAGTTGTTGATTGACTGAGATGATTTCACATTTGGATGGATTCAGGATGAGACCCATTTCCTGTCCCCGTTTCATCACCTGTATAAGTTCAACTAGAAGTGACTCCTTTGTACCCTCCAGTGTGCCATCATCCAGGAACCAGATGTTTAGCTCACTGGTCAGCCTGACAGTGATTTCCTTAACCGCTATGCAGAAGAGAAATGGGGTGAAGAACCTCCTTGCTGGACACCCTCTGATGGCGTTATTTCATGCTCTCCAAATAGAACTGATTCCTTGCTGTATCCAACTGGAACAAAACGGAAAAAATAGAAATGCTCTTGTACAGCAATAAATACCAAGTCTTTTTTTTCAGGGTATTAAATGCATTCTTGAAAACCAATTTTACCACTGCATTGTTCTCAGACAGGTTGTTGATATACTCCCTTGTTGCATGAACCGCTGCTTCACTTCCTTGAGAGACCCCAAAGCCAAGCTAGTTTGGTTGAAGCATCATGGCCGCCTCTGTGCAAATACTATGGACAGTAGCTTTCGAAATGAAGTGGCAAAGAGTGTTGCCCAAGGCAATTGGTCTAATTCTTCCATCCTTCTCTCAAAGGGCACAAAGTAATGCACCAAATGAGAAAATTTATTTCGTCAGGAAACAGACCAGCCAAGGAACTGTTAACGAACCTTGTGATCTCTGAAAGCAGTGTCTCTGCAATCTCCCCGATAACTGGATTAGCCATTTCCTTTAAATGTTGAGGTCTTTCTCTAGTGTAGTCCCCAGCGGAGAAGACGGGAATGATATAATTTTTTGTAAACAACTGAATCTTCCACAAACAGTGGTTCCACAGTGGAGACAAGGATGTTAGAACTGTTGGTGCCAGTGGTTTCCCTGACAGGGTGCTTTTCTCTAAGTGCTTGAGCAGTGTCAGCAACCCTGGTGGCAACTGTATCCTCGCTGCTGATTATCTTGATTGCCTCACTCTGTTTCCCTCTTCTATTTTCTTGCTCACCTGGTCTCTGTTTTTTTTTTTTTTTACTCTTAGTGTAACGATTAGGTGGCCTGCCTCTCCCATTTTTGTATTGGTATGGAAGGCGAATGGGGTCGCCAGCTCGATGAGGCTAGACCCTTGCCCCCTCATTTCGGCACAGCTAAGCAGACATTGCCATAAAGTAGCAAGTTGTGCCATGCCTTGATGGTTGGTGGAGCATTTAGGATAGTGGAACCATCGTTTGCTTTTTTCAAGAGGTCCGTGAGTTTCCCAGCAGCGTGCGGACCGGATGTTTTGGGAATATGTGTGAGTGTCCTGGTACCTGTTGCTTGAATTGGTACTAAGATATTGTCTGAGGAGATGACATCTATTGAAGTGGGTTAGATCTGCTCCTCATACTACGGCAACTACTACTGCTGTTACTACAAATTCTTTCACTACTGCAGCTGTTACTACTATTACTACTACTACCATTGCAAATTCTTTTACTACTACTACTATACTATAACTACCACTACAACTAACACAACTACTATTCCTCCTACCTCATTACTACTAATACCGCTCGTGCCATTCTACTTCTACCACTAAACCATTGCTTCATCCTCCACTACCCCCGTTACAACCCCTCCCTCCACTATTACTTTTACTACTTTAACTACTATTGCTTCTACAACTACTGTTACTGCTACTACTGCCATTACTACCACAACTACTACTACTACTAGTGCTGATATTGCTGCTACTTCTAATACTACCACTACTACCACTACTAATACTAGTACCACCACTAATACTACAACTACTACTGCTACTTCTGTTACTATTTCTACCACCAACTCCTTCGTATACTCCACCGTAGTGACTTCTGTCCTCTGTTTTCCTCACCCCAGTTGTCACATAACGAAAGCCCTGGACAGACTGAAACGTACCTTCACAGGGATAATATAGGAGAAGTGATTCCAGTTCTGCATTGGTACCAACGATGGGTCGTTGGACATGAAAGGCTCGAAATTCATCAGCTCACACACTCGATCCCCACCTGGTAAAAGTTCAGGATTTGTAAAGGACGAGTAGATAGAAATAGAGACAAAAACAATATGGACAAATAGAATAGGAGAATTGAATATCTCGTGGTGGGAAAAGGCAAAGAGTACACAGCTATTCAACGCTGCTGAAAAACTGCCTCAGTTTAAACATCAGTCCTCACGCCTTCAGTTAAAAATGAAAGTAGACCAAACTTTGGCGCAGCCACGAAGGGGGGCGGGTAATTAAAGCACCCCTTCCCTAATACGCAAACGCTTTTTATTTTTTGCAATCGATGACTGATGTTCATTCTGTTATATTGCCCAGTGACCAAGAATGCATGATAGTTTAAGAAATTTCACTCACGTACTAAAAATAATAAATTTGAAAAACGGCTTCTTTGATTTATTTGCTTCTTATGACTTTTAAGCTCCCAAGCCTCGGTCAGATGACCAAAATCTCAACAGCGGGTCATCATCTCACTAAGACCCACGTCAGGAAACACTTGTTCTGTTTCCTGACGAATCTTACCTAACCTGGATTAAACCCCTTACACGTTAAAATCCTGGAATACGACCCTCTCCAGAATTTAAAATCCTGGATTAAGTCGCCTCCAGGTTGAAAAGCGCTACTGGTCAGACTGGATCTAATATTCAGTCTGAGCGAATTAAGCCTGAAAACATGAAATATACAACAAAAAATTATGGAACTTCTTACCTGATGTGCACAGCACAAATTTAATTGCTCAGTTCATTCCATTTCATGAAATCAAGGATGAAAAGCACAGAGACTGTGTTTGCTGTTCCAAAACATGTAGATATACAAAAATGAGCAGCAAAAAAAATAGAAAACGGGAAATAGTAAAGGAAGCAAGAATATGAATATCCTAGGACAAGGAATTAAGAGAAAAGGCAGAAAAAACTGATCGAAAAATCACATAGCTACTAAAGCAGGAAAACATGCCAAAGAACTGGGCTGCCATAGTCAATTAATTCCTAGGTGATCATGCTAAAAAAAAAATCAATGAAATTTATGAGAAAGCTTTCGAGAACCTAACCAGCTTAAGTATGGAATCTCTGAAAGGGCACCTTTATACGACTGCTTGAATCTTTTTCCCCCCAGTTCTGTCGTTCATAACTGTAGAATACCTCTTCAGATTGGGTTCAAATTTTCAACACGTGTAACTGGGGAAAGGTTCTTACAACTACACAAAGAAAACCGCAGACAGAGTACAATCTAGGGGACCAAAAACTGCAAACCTCACTCAAGGAAAAGGATCTTGGGGTGAGCATAATACCGAGCACATCTGAGTCGCACATTAACCAAATAGCTGCTGCAGCATATGGGCGACTATCAAACCAAAGAATAGCGTTCCAACACCTCAGTAAGGAATCGCTCAGGACTGTATTGGAGTATGCAGCACCAGTATGGAACCCACCCAAGAAATTAGAGAAATGCAACGAGACTGGTCCTGGAGATAAGCGGTATGTTCTACGAAGAGAGGTTAAAGGAAATCGACCTGACGACACTGGAGGACAGGAGAGAGAGGGAGGAACATGATAATGACATAAAATACTGAGAGGAATTGACAAGGCGAATAGAGACAGGATGTTCCAGAGATGGGACACAGCAACAAAGGGTCACAATTGGAAGTTGAAGACTCAGATGAGTCACAGAGATGTTAGGAAGTATTTCTTCAGTCATAAAGTTGTCAGGAAGTGGAATAGTCTGAAGAGTGATGTAGTACAGGCAGGATCCATATATAGCTTTAAGAAGAGGTATGATAAAGCTCATGGAGCAGGAAGAGTGACCTTGTAGCAAACAGTGATGAGGCGGGTCCAGGAGCTGTGACTCGACGCTTGCAACCACAACTAGGTGAGTACACACACACACAGCTCTCCCCTCTCCCTTCCCCTATTTCTGCCTCTCCTCCTCTCCCTCTTCCTGTTTCTACCTCTCCTCCTCTCTCCCCTTTGGCCTTTTCCCTGTCTCCCCTTCCTAGTCTCTATCTCGCCCCCCCCTCCTCCCTCCGTCCAACAACCACCTCCACACATCTACACACCTACATACACACACACACAGAGTTGGGGAGCTCACAAGAAACGACCAAGAAATATGTGAGGAGCTCAACATGAGATTTTACTAAGTATTTATAGTGGAGACAGAAAGGACTCTGGAAAGTCAGAACATTAAGGTACACCAACAAAGGATATACCAAAATGGTATACAATACCGACAGGTTGGTAGGTAAGACACATAGGCAACAGTTAGGCAACTTTATTCCGAAACGTTTCGCTTACACAGTAGGCTTCTTCAGTCGAATGCAGAAAGTAGGCAGTAACAGTAGCGATTACATCGTCTTCACATCGCTACTGTTCCTGCCTACTTTCAGTATTCGACTGAAGAAGCCTACTGTGTAGGCGAAACGTTTCGGAATAAAGTTGTCTAACTGTTGGATATGTGTCTTACCTACCAAAGGATATGTCAACAAGTGCTGGATGTGATACACAAAACCGAGGAGCTGAAGAAGCTTCTGAACGAATTTGATAACTCAAAGGCGGTGGGACCGGACATCTCTCCGTGGGTCCTTAGACAGGGAGCAGAATCACTGTGTGTGCCACTAACAACAATTTTCAACTCATCCATTGCAACTGGGCAAATACTTGAGGTATGGAAGATGGCAAATGTAGCTGCCATTTTTAAGAAAGGAGACAGACACGAGGCACTTATCTACAGACCAGTCTCACTGACGTGTATAGTATGCAAAGTCATGGAGAATATTATCAGGAGGAGAATGGTGGAGCACCTAGAATGGAATAAGCTTATAAACGACAACCAGCACGGTTTCAGGAAGAAAAATCCTGAGTCACAAACCTACTGGAGCATTATGACAAAGTAACTGCAATAAGACACAAGAGTGGGAGGGGTAGTAGACTTCATTTTCTTGGACTGCAATAAGGCCTTCGACACGGTTCCTCACAAGAGATTAGTACAAAAGCTAGAAGATCAGGTACGCATAACAGAAAGGGCACCTGACAGGGAGGCAACAAAGAGTAATGATAAATGAAGCGGTGTCAAAGTGGGCGACTTTGACGAGCGGGGTTCCGCAGGGGTCAGTCCTAGGACCAGTGCTCTTTTTGTTATATGTGAATGACTTAACGGAAGGGATAGACTCAGATGTGTCCCTGTTTGCAGATGATGTGAAGCTAATGAGGAGAATTAAATCGAATGAGGATCCGGCATGGCTACAAAGAAACCTAGGCAAGCTGCAAGCCTTGTCCAACAACTGGCTTCTCGAATTTATCCCCGCCAGATGTAAAGTCATGAAGATCGGGGAAGGGCAAAGAAGATCGCAGACAGAGTATAGGCTAAGTGGCCAAAGATTGTAAACCTCACCCAAGGAAAAGGATCTTGGGGTGAGTATAATACCGAGCACATCTGAGGCGCACGTCAACCAGATAACTGCTGCAGCGTATGGGCGCCTGACAAACCTGAGAATAGCGCTCCGATACTTCAGTAAGGAATTGTTTAGGTCTGTACACCGTGTACGTTAAGCCCATATTGGAGTATGCAGCACCAGTTTGGAGCCCACACCTGGTTAAGCACGTCATTAAATTAGAGAAAATGCAAAGGTTTGCAACAAGGCTAGTCCCGAAGCTGAGCAACTTCCAGAAGTATGGAAGACAGCAAATGTAGTCTCAATTTTTAAAAAAGGAGACAGACAGGCAGCATTAAACTACAAGCCAGAGTCATGAATATGTATAACATTCAAAATCATGGAGAAGCTTATCAGCAGAGCTTTAGAGCACCTTCAAAGGAATGAGCTCGTACACGATAACCAGCACTGTTACAGAAATGGGAAATCTTGTGTCACAAACTTACTGGAGTTCTAAAACAAAGCGACAAAAGTAAGACAGGAAAGAGAGAGGTGCACTGATTGCATTTTCTTGAACAGTAGGAAGGCTCTTCACACAGTTCTGCACGAGAGATTGGTACAAAAACTATATGAGCAGGCAGGAAAAGCACTGCGAATGTTAGGGGTTTCACAAGGATCAGTCCTAGGGCTGGTGTTGGTTCTGGTAAATATGAATGACATGACGAAAAGGATAGATCCCGAGGTGTTCCTGTTTGGACCTCCAAACACGTATTTCAGAACACCAATACGCAAGCAGGTCTGACGACACAAGGAATGCCTGCGTACAACACCGTAATTCACACAACCACTTGATAAACTACAGAAACTCAAGACTTATCGCCACAGAAGACAACACCCAATACCGAAGAATCCTGGAATCATCACTTATTTCTATATCCGACAACTTCAACCAGAATAGTGGCTTCTATAACATAGCTGAACCACTTGCCAAGAAACTTCTTCATCGCTATCCCACATAAGAACACTGTAGAAGGTCTGCTCACAAACTTGTCCAGTCTCCTTTCCAAGCTACCCAAGTTTTTAGACTCTACAACCCAACTCGGTACATCATCAGATGCAGCATTGTTCACCTGACCTCAGCCGGACTATAAATACTCGCGTTCCTTCCACCCCAGGTAGTTCTGTTTGTGACTTGAAAAAGCCCACTGTGTGGGCGAAACGTAGTCAATAAAGGATCACATTATACTGCATTTGTGTTTATATTGCCAGTGTTCCTGTTTGCAGACGACGTGAAGCTAATGTAGAGAATTCAGGCGGAGGGGAATCAGGTAAGACTGCAAAGATCTGGACAGGTTGCAAACCTGGTCCTACAAAGGGCTCCTTGAACTGAACCCTGCCAAATGCAAAGTCATGAACCCAGGGGAAGGACAAAGAAAACCACAGATGGAGTACATGCTCGGGGGCCAAAGACTGCATCACTCAAGAACAAAGATCTTTAGGTGAGCACCATACCAAACACATTCCCTCAGGCTCACATCAACCAAATAACTGCTGCAGCATATGGCCGCATGAAAAACCTAAGAATAGCTTTTCGACATCTAGGTAAGGGATCATTGACGACAATGTACACCGTGTACGTC